AATAGCCACAATGTAGTACAACTAAACCCTGATGAAAATAAATATTATCTTCTCACTCCATATCCCACATTAATGCAATCACTCAAAAAATTTTCACCAGAAAGCATTCGCGCTATTGCTCGAAACCCAAATATAGACTTACAATCAATAGGAATCTATTCAAAATCAGATATTCAACATCACATTAGAACACAACAATTCCAAGAATTATTAACACAAATGGACACTATACAAAGACAATCAATAGACCAAAACTTACGCAAACTTGCAGAAACCGCAGGATTTGCCGATATCTACACGCAAGACTATAGCGGATATTTTAAAGACATTAAAGATTATATATATCTAAACGGCGAAAAATACCGTCCCCAAGATATATCACCAATCAACATTTTTAGCTTTGTTACACTCAAGAATGAAATCCTTGATTTTCTAGGATGGCCCTACTACATCTTAGAAAAATTGACTATTTTATACGCAATGTTTAACTTTATTGGATTTCTTTTCTCACTCTTAAAAGGAATCTACAATACATGTGCTATACACACACAAGTAAACAGACAAGCAAGCGTAGCACGCATACTCTTTGCAGGATTTTTTGGAATTTTTTCCACATCTATAAACAAAATTCTTTTAGACGCACAAATAAAAGAATATAACACAAAAATAACAACACGACAGAATACATACGACGAAGAACATAACAATGTCGACACACAGCCAACGGCACCACAATTACCACCCCTACCAAATAACCATCCACTATCCCTAGTCCCACGAAATTTTCGAAATTTAGCAATCACACATAATCCAAATTTCCGACTCAATACATCGCAAAGTCCCGTCCAACATATAATGACACATCAATCACAAGATGATAATACTTATGAACAAATTATTGAACAGCCCCATACCACCGCTTTTCAATCTCAAAATAATAATTTTTTTAGCCCACGATGAGCCGCCAACTTGGATCACTACACCGATCAAATTCCCATCCAACCAATCTTACCTCTCCAATCCCAATCATACCACTTTTTGCTTTTCCGCCACCCGATTTTCCATCTAGCAATGTAACATCAGGCATGAATTCCGACACTAACTCACATATTTCAGTTTTATACTCCATTTCACAACTCAATAACCCGAATATTGAAACCCCCGATGAATTCGCCGACTCAGAACCATCTCCATCCAATAATTTTCATAACCCTTCTAATTTTTCTCAACCCCCTTTTCAACCCATATTATCCAATAACCCTGACCCAATCACTCCCACACCCTCTTATGCTTCCCAAGTTACCCCAACCTACTCCTCATACCATTCTGACCAATCATCTCAATCTCCAGACACCCCCCGAATCTCCCCAGAGCTAGATAACTTTATTACCCTTCAACAACAACCCTACCACCTTAATACCCCAACCATAAACCAAATCTCCTCCACAACAAATTCATCCAATCCCCCTACACCCTCTTCAAATTATACTGAATCATTAACACCATCATCCACATCCACTATATCTTCACTAAACACTAATAGAGCTTACCGCACTTTTAAAAGAAAATTCCCCAACCATCCTTTCCCAGCAAAACCAGGAACAGCCCGTGAATACATCAACCACCCCCAGCATACTAACACTAAAGAATTTTTAGCTATCACTTTACCCTCATTTCCACAATACACCTTAAACACCCCTCACGACGCTAACGAAACACGCAACTTTGTAGATGAATACGTTTTAATGCCCACTCTCTCTTGGACCTCATATTATCATTTTACTAACCCTCTTTGCTTACCTTTATCTAACACTCACATCGATATAGAACGAAATAAGGACATGCTATATCAACTCACTACACCACTAACCGCTAGACAGTTTACTTACGTTGGATATAAAAAATCACTAAAAATACACACTGCACCTAGAGCTAATGAATATACACTAGAATACTACGATCACAACATCATTAGAGCTAACCAAGATCAATTCCTAGACGACGATCGCTTCGCTAATCCACAAATCACCGAGAAATTTTTCATCAAGACACCATATGTATTTACACTAAACATCTTCGACCGAAAGTTTGATCACATTATTTCAGAAGCACTAACAAACACACAAGCATACGAAAGTTTTAAAGAACGCTTCCAAATCTTTTCACTAACCTTTCATTTCCTTGCACCACACGAAAGAGATTTACACTGCTCACACGATATTATGTTGCGCACTAAACAAACACATACATACAGTTACTATCGTTTCATCCAAAATCACTTTGACCTCCACACACCCTCTCGACAACCACACCATCGTTTCCAATTCATCAATTCAAAATACACTTCACCGTATTTCCTAAATTTCACATATTGTATTAAAGACACTAACCTCCATGGTATTCTTCGTAATTATGACCCCATAACCCAAATGTACATTTTCTGCCCCATCACCAAGACCTTCAACGCCGAAGAATCCCGACCCTTCCTTATCCCGCACGAGTTCCTACAACCTATAGAAATCCCAATTTTAGAATTCATCCACAACACTAAATTTAACCACAAATTATATAACTTAATCCAAAACACACCTTATGAGTTTGCAGTAGGCACTGAAGAACTAACCACTATTAAGGCACTTCAATTGCTTTGGCCACTGCTTCAAACTAAAAATATCATCCGCATCTTAGCTAAACTACTAACAACTTCAGAACTAATTCACGACATCTTCCCCCACGGTTTTTTCCCCGACGACTAACAGGTAAGTATGAATTAAGTAAATATTACTAACTAATTAAAATATTGAAAAAACTCACCATTCTTTATTCATGTTTTCTTTAGATTTTTAGCCTTCATCCTCGATCATCTGAAAAATTCACAAAAGAAAAATAAAAAATAGCAAACTTCTTCAAAACTGTTTAAGACCCTATTAAACTTTTGCACCAACAATTAAATAAATATAATACCAATGCAGTAAATTAATTTATAAAATTTTTCCCCAAAGCAGTAAATCTAATTATGATGAAAATTTGTATCTTAAAATTCCCCCATAACTAGCAGTAAATTTCCAAATTCTATGCAGTAAATTAATAAAATGCAATTGCAGTACTAACCTTTTGATATTTTCATTCATTCGCACAGAAATTCTATCCACACTCGCACAGCTCGCCCACGAAGAATTGTTTAAAATAATGAATTTCAGTTTCAAGTTTTCACACTCAACAAATCTAACATACAATAACATGTTTCAAACTTTCCTTTAACCCGGTTGGAAAGGAATCATATACTAAACAAAACTAACCAACGCAGCTTACTAAATACCACAAATCATAGAATAACAGCATGACTAAGAAAAGGAAACCAACGGTACCCAAACCGGATTAACCCAGTTTAAAACTGGATAATTTATTCTTTTAAAGACTATTACAAAGTCTTAGAAAGAAATAATAAAACACAAAAAAGTCGAAAGACAAACCCATACCACAAACAATTTGATTTTTGAAAAAAGGACACAACCAACGAAACATAAGAAAAACCACAACAAACCCAACATAAAACGTTGTCACATAACAGGACCCCTCACAAAAAACCGCCTGAAATCATACTCCCACTCCTGGCCTAACCCACCAGGAAGGACGTCCTGAGCATGCTCTATAGCCGGCCTAACCCACCGCGCTACATCCACGCTTTGTGACCACACCTTTATTTTTAATAAGAGCTACTCAAGGGTGAGTAACTCTTCAAAATAACCGAACTAAAACAAAAAGCTTTTGTGAAAACAACTAACTAAAATCATTATTAAAAAATATTAAACTAATAAAAGTTTTATAAAATGTAAAATCACATGATACAATATATAGATCAGAATACAACACCAAGGACGAACATCAAAAGACAAGACGACCTCACTACACTCGAGAGAGAATGACCAACTACAATCGATATGCCGCTCACAATCACAACTCAAAGGATTTAGAGTACGACTTGACTTCGCAGAAAAGGACTTCATTGAACTAGACCAATGACCACCTCGATGTTCAAGTATACGTACAGATCCGAGTAACCAGGCATCCCCTCCACGCACAATCTCCACGCCATTCCCAAGCTAGATCAGACACAAAGGAAGTTCTCCCCGAAGAACAGAAAAACCTGACATAGCCAACCATTCTGAAATCAGAATTGATTTTGTTGCAGAGACTCAGTCGTTGTCACAAGAAGAAGCGGAAGAAAATTATGATGTTCGCCAAATACCAACGTCCATCATCCACCCTTGAATTACAGAAGAACTGTTCTAAAAAACTCTGTAAAACCCGGATGGGTGGAACCTGATCTAAACTATATTTTATGATTGGATAAATTAAATGTTTTACCAATGTAAAGTATTTAATATTAACCAATCATGATCCATCTAACTAACAACCCACTTATTTGTAAGTGCTGAAGTTACTTGTAATTTCAGCACCAGAGAGATTTGAATTTAACTTAGAAATTAGTTGGACTCTCCCGAGCACTTCAGCAGCCGCAATAAACCAGTATACCCTAGATCTATTGAGCCTAGCAGAGACTAGTTAAACAACCTGAGACTAGATAGTATAAGAGTAAGATTAGGATCGGTATTAGACTAAGAAGTTGCACGAATCTATCCGGCCGAAAATAAGATAGCGTGACGAGCAGACGGTGTACCCTATCCGAAATTACTCTATGAGTTATACACTCAAGACATAACTCACAATTACACAATATCATTTTCTGTATATTTTCTTAAACAAAAAATCTCTTTTTAATATTAAATTGACGAGTGAAGGCCTGCGAACATAATACATAAAAGCGCCATGAAAGTAGAAAGTACTGAGTGAAAAAAAAACTTCCAAGGTAGTGTTAAACTAGACTGTGTTTGCCAGAAAAAAAATATTATGGGGGAGGGGGAAGCTAAACGCGTGAAATTACATTAAAGGAATTAAAAGTTAAAGTCTGGTTGATAAAAATAACCATAAGAGTCCACCTGAAATGAGGCTTGACCAGCTGTGAGTTGCTTAGTTGATCCTGCACTAGCTTTTCCAGAGTGGGGAGCCAGGATACTGCCAGATGACAGTTCTGCAACACCACCCAGTGTCCGGAAGCAGCCGCGTCCTTAACCTTCTTCTCCGCAATTGGACCTTGACCTTGACCCAGTGAAATGGTGATCAGAGTTTGACCTGCGTAACAAATTTGAATCAATAAATACAACTTCAGCTACATTACAAGGCCAAACTGTGCCATTGTAAAATGTGAATTGTAAGCTGATTCTGTGACAGGCCAAAATCAGATTTGTCGCGGAATCCGCAAAATTGCTACTTTTTTTAAAATCTTCTATGCTGTTTTAGATTCCAAAACAAATATATAAGACACTGTACCGCTCAAAATTGCTCCAAAATTAGTCTAATTTGTTGTATCCGCAACAGTATTCGCGGAATTTCGGAACACTTTGTGTTTCTCTGTGTCAAAAAACGGATACCGAAACAATTATGAGAATCCTTCAGTCATCGGCGACCTTTTATTTTTACGACCTTTTTTAGGCCGACCAAATTGATTTTTCGAGCTCTCCTAAAGCACTTTTGGCAGGTCTTTTTTTTAAAAAAAATTGAAAAAAAGGTCAAAATGCCGTTTTTGGGCAGTTTTTGGAAAATTTTGACAAAAAAATCGCGTTTTTTGTATATATTGGCGCCGAAGGCGCAATTAGAAAAATTTTAAGGTCGGTAGGCCAAAAATGGAATTCTTAAAAAGTACCAAAGGGGGACCCTTTGGGTCGGCGGGGGTCGAATCCCTGAAAAAGGGGCGTCCGCCCCCCCCCCCCGCCCCCTACTAAATCCTCCCCTGTGTTTAAACATGAATGTTTCATTTCTTGCAATACAAAATACAAAAAGACAGAATGGTATTGCTTTTTTTAATATTGCCTATTCGTCATAATTTTTTAGTTTCTCAGCACACAAACTCTCAGCTGAAAAAAAGGTTAAATTTGTGCGCAAATTATATCTCTCAAATGGATGATAAGTTTCAAAATGTAAATCTGTATATTGAATTTTTTTACCATGTGAAAATATTTTACAGAAATTTTCGAACTATGACAAGGAGAGCCGCTAAGTGTGCATGTAGCAACGAATGTTCCGACCAGTCTTTTGAAAACTACTGTTTAGAAATTTTTTTTCCAAGTTTGTGGTTTTTTCTACTTGGTGTGATAAAAGGATCTGAGGTAAAAATGTAGTTTAGGCCTATTAGGCAGTCATAGTAATAGGGCAACTTGGACAAAAAATTTTGTGGAAAATGACTAGAAAAACAAAAAAAAATTTTTTAAAATTTTTAAATTTTTTTTGCAGAAAATTTTTGATTTTTTTGAAGTGTTTGGTTTCCAAAATGACCCAAAAAACTCCGAAAACTAGTTTTACATGCTTAAAATTAAGTTTTAAGGTCTTAAATTAGGCATAGTTCAGCTGTTGTAGTCTGCTCACTTGCTTTATTTGCTCAAATTAAGACGAAAACTCGAATTTTTTCTCGACACTGGGAACTTTTTTGGAAATTTTTTAATGTGATTCAAACCACAACTGAAAGGGCTTTAATATGATATATCACTCAACCCAGTCCGATCATTCTTTGTGCTACTTGATTCTGCGTGGAAAACAAAAAGAAAAAAAAACTAAAACACCCGAATACGAAGTTCCTCATCATTTTTAATGTTCGGAACTAAAACAATGAAACTCTTTTTTTTTCTGGAGTACCTTTTGCGTCCGCGAACTTCTGCAGTGAAGCCATGGGATCTGAGCCGGGGCTGAGGACAAACACGAGGGGTGTGGAACAGTTGCTGTCTATGAAGCTCTTCTCAAGGTCAAAGGTCGGCGGGTCAACGTATTCTTTGCCCATGCGCTTCACCACAAATTTGATTACCGCCGAGGTTATCTAAAATTACCAAAAATCCTGAAAATTTTTTTAAAAAAAAGTTTCGATTTCTATTTCGATCCACAAGTATAATAAAAAATTTACAGAAAAAGTCTTAAGGAAAGATTTCAGACTATTTCCAATTTGAGTCTTGATACTTGATACGAGTTGCGAGTTGAGTTGTTCAATTGGCCTTTTGATTCTTGAAAAATAGGATAAAATGGACCATAAATGCGATTATTTTCCTATAAGATTTTTATTTGTGGTTCGTCTGGTAGCATTATGAGGAGCGTTGTTTTGCAAGAAGTGAAGTTTTGTGGTGCGTACTTTGTCGGGCCTGAAACACCTGGTGATGATGAGGGTCTGAATGTCGGTCAGCTGGTTTGGCTTCCACCCATCTGGCATCACACTGGAAGGGTCGGCTGCTTCAAACATCTTCTTCCAACGCAAGTACTGCAAAATAAGGGAGATATAATAAATTAATTCCGATTCTTATGATTAACAATGCAAATAATATTGCAAAAAAAACTAGTTTTTTTTATACAAAAGTTGAGGAAATTCGTCGCCTGCAAGGACATTGCTTGTAGACTCAAGCTAAACTTGGTTTCAGGCGTCCTAAAAAACATAAATACATTTGCGGTTAGTAAGCGACAGGAACAGTAGTTTATGTCCATTCAAATTTTATAACGTTTTTTTTTGGATTTAATTCGAGCGTGCGTTCTAGTTCGTTACTCGGTAAATGATGAATTATACTAGATTATCTGTCTAACAAAGCGTTTTTGAGAATAATTTACTATTTATTATTATTATTTGACATATTGAGATTGAAAAGAAAGTTTTCTCAAGAAGAAAGTATCCAAGAAAACCCAAGTTTTGTTAACTGCTACAAAATTTTCCGAGTGCATGTATTTGGAGGATTCGAGTGTGACAGGATGCATCTTGAATTGTTTAATTTCCCCCAACAAGTGACACAGGGAATTTAAATCAGGGTATCAGAATCTTTCAAAGTAAATGAAGAGGTTCCGCATAAAAGATCTAAAACTGCTAAAAAGTCAAAGCTTGTCTGGGAAAATAGGAGACCGAGCAAATCATTTGAACTCTCATGAGTTTTCTGATGAGTTTTCCTACGTTTCGTTCGAAGTGTTCTTTGAACCCAGTCATTCGGGGCAGTTCAGCAGCCTTGCATATCTCGTTCCAGGTCTTTTCCGAGAGCCAGTCGGAACAGGGGTTCGGGTAGGGATTGTCCAAGGTCACGCTTCCAGTGAGGAGGAACCGCAGTTCCTGGTCTTCTATCCTGATAATTTACCCAGACTCTCGACTTAAATGATACGAAATGATTTCTCACAATTAGAGTTTGTGATCATCATTTGTGAATCTTTTTCGGCGAACAGAAAGAGATCAATTGTTTTAGGTCGTCTTACGCCTTTTTAATCAACAAAACTATGAAAAGCTCATCAAATTTTGAATGATAAATTTGAAGCATGATGAATTAGTTAATATTATTTGGATATGATTTTTTTAGCAGATGGAGTTTTCTAGGAAGTTTACCTTTCGTCAGACTTGTTCACTTGTCCATCTGTCAACCATCCCCTGAAAAAAATTCAGTATGGAGGGTCAAATTTAGGGTCATTTTCGAAGGGTAATTTAGCCTGAAAACGAAGAATAACATTTTACTGAAGAAAGAACTGACAAGTAGTATAATAAATTTAAAAATATTCAAATTCTATGTCTTAGTTGAGGTTGTTTCTTTAGTAAGCACCATAGGCAGATTTTTTCGAGGGGGAAGATTTTCAAAAAAAAATTCAAAAATTTTGCCAACCTTTTGTTTTGTTTTCAGGTTGACTAAATTGATGATATTTAGAGCTCTCCCAAAGCACTAAGAAAACCCTTTCGGCCAATTTTTTTTCTATCAACCTCTGGACCATAAGGATAGGGGATTGTCAATTTTATATATATTATTTTATGTGTGTTATACGTTTTATTTTGAATCACTTTCTCGACTTACTTTCCACGGATGATGGAGACGGTGAGTAGGAAGGAGAAGAGGAGCTTGTCTTTCTCGAAGAGAGATCGACACACATTCTGGTACAAACTAGAACGACAAAAGCACTACAAGTACAACAAAGGGCTCATGTAAACAACACCCAGGTCCAAAAGAGAACACCTATAAAGTCCAAAACTGCTACGCTTGATATCGTGCCCTATCTGAGTTGTTTGATCAATCTATATTTTTAATCAGGAATTTTTAGTACAAAAATAAAATGCACCGAAATTTTACCTTTAAAAAATAGGTTCAACATCAGATGTTAACAAGGATAGCTGGTTGCTGTGCAAGTAGCATAGAATGTTCCGACCACATTCTCAGAAAAAAATGGTTTCCCTCAAAATAGAGTTTTTTTTGTACGTCTTGTAATGATAGAACTTTACAGACGCGTAAAAATTTAGTGAATTAGGCATTAACGACTAAAATTGTATTGAAAAATTGAATGAACAAAAATGATAAAAAAAAGTTTCGCCAAATAAGAGAAGCGCTAAATAAGGATTCCAAAGACTAATAATTCTTTCATAGTAAATTAAGTAATTTTTACCCTAAAATTATTTTGATATATATAGAGAACAGTACGCTATCGCTTTGCTTGCTCGAAAATAGACGATGAACCAAAAATTTTTAATTTCATTCGAATCACAACTGGAAGGGCTTCAATATGATATATCACTCAACACAGTAGGATGATTTTTTTTGGTAGCTGATTTTGCGTGGAAAACAACAATAGAAAAAAGTAAAACGCACCCGAATACAAAATTCCTCCCCGTTTGTAATAGTCGGAACAATAAATACCGCCCAGTTTCTCTGCTAATCAATTTTTGCCAGCAATTTTGGTCGCTTATTAATTTAAAAACAAGACTGCTCGTATCAGGGCGAAGCCCTGAATGTTCCGACTGCCTTTTAAGTTTTATGGAGCAGCAGTAATAACATAAAAAAATTAAATGAAATAAAATAAAATGAAAGTTTTTTTTTCTAAAATTTGAAATTTTTTTAATGAAAATCATCCCCCCACACGCCATATAAAGTACAAAAAGAGAGATTTCGTGCCTTGTAATAAATCAATTATGGCAAATAAGCTTCGTTCAACTAATTTGGAACGATTTATAAGACGGATTAAATCTCCGCTTACGCGTTAATAGCGCGAATTATATCGCGCGTTAATTGTCCCAAATTGGTCAAAATGGCTAAAATGGCAATCTTTAAACCCTCAGAACTTTACGAAAAATGATCACAGGTGAAATATCTTTTCAAATTTAAGCTCAGGACAACAATACCTTTTGAATGATATAAAAAAATTCCGTCAAAAATGGCTAGTTAAAAAGTCGACATTTGTCTGAAGAAAAAAAAAACCCACCCCGAGCACAAATATTCCGTTACTTTCGTATCGAAAGTCGGAACAATAATCACAGCAAGTGAGTTTTCTGCGATTCGAAAAGAATCTAAGGAAAGCTATGCAGCCTGTTCAACCATATTCCGTAATTTGGGTGTTATTCTCTCTCTGTGTAGTGTTTAATTCTTATCCTCATTCCTATTAGTTACACGCCTAGTGTACCGAAACACGCTGATGTTCGCTGATGATAAAAATGCTATTGCAAGGACATCGATTCAAAGTTTCATCCAGATTTTGTGAATTTTCAGGTATGGTTAGTTTTATATAAATAATCACTATATCCAGAAGATTTTTTCAAAAAAATTTCAATCATAACTTTGAAAGTAAATGATTTGGTTTCTGTTCTCCTACGACATCTGTAGGTGTTTTGACATCTTTGTTGACAAAAAATTGACTTTCAAGTATCATTTTGCAAAAACAGTCTTTAAATTAAAGAGCCTTTATAGTGTTGTTTAAAGATTAAAAAATTCCGATCAAACGCACGCGAAAAAAATTGCTTGTTCATACATGCCCATTTTTCCTAAATTAAATTACCTTTGTTCTGTGCAAAACAAAAGGATCAAATGGGGTTCTTGTTGCAGAAATTTGACAACTTTCCAAATGAATGTCAGTTAAACAGGAGTTTATTGGCCGGAAAAAATTTCGTTGTGACGCTCTTAAATTTTTTCTCCAATCAATGAAAAAAATGTAATCAAACAAATTCAAATCAAATTCTTACAGTATTAGTAAGTTTCTTTCCAGCAGATTTCAGAAAAACCAATTTGCCCTATGAAATTTAAATATTCATTGCTGAAGAACCGCGTAGCAGGCTTATGTAAAACGAATACAATTTATTATCAGAAAATCTTGATTGACTGCCCAATCAGCATAATTTTAATTGTGGATAAATTTAAAAACAATTTATATTTGGAATTGCCCAAGTTAAAAATTTTAAGTTGAAAATTTTTTTTGTAGTTTTGTAAATTTTTTTCAAGAGCTGTCTTGAAAAACAAATTGATTTTGCCGGTCTTCACTAAAGTCTTTTTCCTCCAAAAATTTCTCTAATAATAGTTTTTCTTACAACGTTTTCTTATAAAAAACCAGCTCAAAAACTAGAAAAAAAAATATTTTTTCTCATTGAATCAGTAATTTTTGAACTAGGAAGAATGAGACACAAAATCTAACTGTAAAATTTTGTCAGCTGAATCAGCTTTAGGTTTCATTTTTTTTCGCATTTTTTTCTTTAGTTATGCTCCCAGTGGACATTTAGTACTCCTTATTTTTCTCATGGCAAATAAGTTTGACGACTAAGTTTAATCAATCTTTTTTTTTGAGAAAAGTTGATGTTTTAAATAATAAGAATATATTGTTATCAAAAGAATTTTGAGTGAAAAAAAAACTGCTCATTGGTACTTTGTTTTGGAAGAAGAAATGGTAATAATAATATAAATAAATGAAACTTCTTTAAACTAAAAAAAAAAATTTCAGTTTATTTTTCTAATTAAGCAAAAAAAAAAAATCAAATTGAAAAACATCAAGCAAAACTGCTAGCTTGATTAATTGAAAAACACCCTCCATGCAACGCTCGTCATTCAATTTACCCCGAATTTGCAAACATCCATTTTTTTGTCTTTTTATGTAGCAGTTTCAATTACGAAGCAAAATAAAAAACTTTTTTTTTCTCACTTTGATACAATTTTTTCAAAAGGCTAACCTAATTTGGGCCACCTGGATCAATGATTGTTTTTTTTCTTCAATTCGCTGGGAAATCTAGAAGTTAAAATGGATTTTTGAAACTAAAAATCACGCTATTTTGTTTACACCACTTGCATTTTTGTTGCTAATTTGTTGTGGTAACTTATCTTTCGTTTTGTAAATGAATTTCAAGTCAACCTAGAAATATCTGAATTATCCGAAACAGCATGTCCGCTGTTTCCGCGTGTGATTTCGAATACAGTAAGCGTATTGAGCTTGAATTAAAATTGAGATGTTTTTAAAAAACAGGTGGGCTAAATATCACAAACCATTTTTTTGTATTTTGCTGCAATCAAGAAAAATTGCGACGGAAAAACTGACGCAACAAAAAAGACAAAACTGTCAACGTAGTCAGTTTTTTCCCGTAATTTGTATCGTAGAAATGATTTTAACCTGAAGGTGAAGTCTCTATTGAGAAAGTGCATCCGTTTTTCCAAATTGTTCTTTTGGTTTGTCTTCTCCAGCGTCTGTAACAAAATCAGAGCTCAATTTTGACTCAATTTTTCAAGATATCTCAAGAAAAAGAAACTTAGTTATTTACAATTTAAATCAAATTCATCTTATGTTCAAGACCTTTTATCACCGACGTGAGTTTCCCTCAGCGCTTTTGTTCTAGTTGCTAATATATATTAATCGACTTTTCCTTTGATACTGATAAACAGAAATGATGATTCTCAGAAAAATCCAACTATATTTTGGAAAACCAAAGTTCTCAAAATATTTTTTTTCTTGAAGTTTTTAAATTTTGGTTAAAAAGCTATGAACGTTTTTTTCTAGTTTGAAATGAATTCAAGTTTTTTGAAAGCGAGACCTTTAAAAGTGTTGCGTACCTGCACGAATAGCTTGATATAGAAGTCGAGACTGAATTGATACATTGGGTCAATGGAGGTCAAACTGGTTGACACGAAGAACATCAAGGCGGAGTGAACAGATACGGGGATGTATTTGTTCCTCACCTGCAGATTGAGAAAAAAAGTATGTTTTTGTATAAGCAAACATACAAAAATATGCACAAATTACAAGACAAAGACAATCAAGTCAGTTTGTAAATATCAAAAAATGTTCTGATTACAAAAATTTTAGCTGAAATATGCATCAAAAAGTTTTCTGATTACAAAACTTTCGCTGAAGTATGCATCAAAAGTATATAACCATCACCAGGGGCGGATCTAGGATTTTCGAAAATTTGGACAACCTTTTTTTTTTTTTACAAAACTGATTACAAAACTTTCGCTGAAGTATGCATCAAAAGTATATAACCGCCACCAGGGGCGGATCTAGGATTTTCTCGAGGGGGGGGGGAGGATTTTCGAAAATTTGGACAACCTTTTTTTTTTTTTTAGGTCGATCAGATTGATTTTCCGAGCTCTCCCAAAGCAGTAAAAAAAACCCTGTTTTGGCCAAATTTTCTGCGCCGCAGTCAATTTTTTGAAAAAACAGGTCAAAAAAGCCGTTTTTGGGCACTTTTTGGAAAATTTTGACAGAAAAAACGCGTTAGGGTCGGTCGGCCAAAAATGGATTTCTTAAAAAGTACCAAAGGGGGGACCCTTTGGGTTGGCAAGGGTTCGAATCCCTGAGGGAGGGGGCGTCCGCCCTCCCCCCCCCCCCCCCCTAAATCCGCCCCTGAACATCACTGATGTAGGTATCAAAATATATAAGCAAATCTTCAAAAAATGCTTAAATTACAACACAAAGGCAATCAAGGAAGTAAATTAGCTCCGAACGATTGCGTTAGCTCTCAATAATTGACAAAAAGGCAAATAAGTGCCATAGACTGGTATATTCGATTAAGCCAGGTTATTAGATCAGATAGTTCAAATCTCAACGGTGTTTGATGCGTCGATTATACAGTGCTGATTTAAATTATCCGGACAAAACGAACAAAACTTGAATTTTCAAACGCGTTTTTCTCAAATTGGGTTAAGGTTTGACACAAAAAGTGTGGAGAACAAAAGTTGCTTAAAATTTCACCAGAATTAAATTGTGCCATTTTTTCTCCGAAATTCTCAACAAAAAATTTACCCCAAAAATGGGTCATTTTGGCTTTTTTCAATTAATCAAGAATTACGCTGAAAATATTTTGTTAATTGATAAGCAATTTATATCACATGAAGCCCCTTACGCAGCTCAACGAAGTTTAAGAAGGGTTAAATCTCCAAAAACCAGTATAAGAAAAAAAAATGTCACTTGATAGTCAATAAATGTGATTTTTACTATATAAAACCCAGAATCTGTTTAAAAATAAATTTAAACACTTTGCGCAAATTTTTGGAGATTTAACCCTTCTTAAACTTCGTTGAGCTGCGTAAGGGGCTTCATGTGATATAAATTGCTTATCAATTAACAAAATATTTTCAGCGTAATTCTTGATTAATTGAAAAAAGCCAAAATGACCCATTTTTGGGGTAAATTTTTTATTGAGAATTTCGGAGAAAAAATGGCACCATATTAATTCTGGTGAAATTCTAAGCAACTTTTGTTCTCTTCACTTTTTGTCTAACCTCAACCCAATTTGAGAAAAACGCGTTTGAAAAATCAAGTTTTGTTCGTTTTGTCCGGATAATTTAAATCAGCACTGTAACAGCTAATTGGGATAAGGCTTTACGGTTCTGCATTAAAAAAATCGATTTGATGAAGTTGTTTCAGTATGTGATTTCGAATACAAAAAGCGAAAATTGCATGAAAAGAGTTTGAATGAGGTTCAGGGGCGAATCTAGGATTTTCCCGAGAAGGGCGGATTTCGAAAAACTTTTCAAAAATGTGGCTAACTTTCTTACGTTGACTAAACTGATTTTCTGACCTCTTCCAAGGCACTAAAAAGACCGTTTCGGACAATTTTTTTGCACCGCAGCCAATATATTTTTTTTAAAAATGGGCGTTTTTGAAAAACGCATTTTGAGGCACTCCTGAAAAACCCGCATCTTTCTGCAAATTTTGAAAAAAAAATCTCGTTTTTTCGGCGCATGCTCCCCTCTCAGATTCTTGGTTTTGGGTAGTCAGGCGGTCAAATTCCTGAGGGGGGGGGGACGTGATGAATCCGCCCCTGATGAGGTTCATTGTTATAGGTCGCATACCTGTGAGATTGACTCCTGAGTCTCCTCACTAGTGGTCTCTTTAACCTGCAGCTCTTCCGAGAGACACTTGGAGGATGTCAGAACCTCAATAGCCGCGTCGTCTTCCAAAATGTTTCCCTGAATAAACATACAAAAATATAGTTTTTTTTCTAACCTCACTTTTGAATTAGTTTTTTCCAGTTTTGTAAAAGCTAGAGTTTTTCGTGAAACAAGCATAAATTGAGAAAAACGAAACAAAAAAAAGTGACCAATCAATGAAAATTAGAGACTTCTACGGCTGTTTCGTAACTTTAATCGATTAGATGTTCAGAATTGAACACGTGATTCTAAGTAGCTCAGCTTCACTTCCCGGGTCGAAAATGATAGCCTTCCATCTTGATCCTGGCTGGTAAACAATTATTGTTTATTAAAGTTTTTAACTTTCAGATCCTGGCTGGTAAACAATTATTGTTTACTAAAGTTTTAAATTTTTTATTTATTCCGATAATAATCAAACATAAGCCAAAATCTCGGAATAAATAAAAAATTTAAAACTTTAGTAAACAATAATTGTTCACCAGCCAGGATCTGAAAGTTAAAAACTTTAATGAACAATAATTGTTTACCAGCCAGGATCAAGATGGAAGGCTATCCTTTTTGACCCGGGAAGTGAAGCTGAGCAACTTAGAATCACGTGTTCAAATCTGAACATCTAATCGGTTAAAGTTACGATACAGCCGTAGAAGTCTCTAATTTTCATTAATTGGTCACGGTTTTTTTTCTTCGTTTTTCTCAATTTTAATTTATATGCTTTTACAACGACTCTTTTCAAATCTAATGCAGATTAAAGAGATCTATGATCTACGGTGCGAATAATAGTGCCAACTTAAAGTTACTAAGAGAAACAAGACACGCTATATGACCGAGTCCTTGTTTCTCTTAGTAAAATTTTAAAAAAGAACTAAGCTAAAATTTTCTGGTGTGTGCAGTTATAATAAACAAACAGCCAGCAAAAACTTGCTAAAGTGTTAATGAACTCAACGGAACCGCAAAGAAACTTTCTGTTTCAGTTTTTTCAATTTCATAGATGAATTTCCAAAATCTTTGCGAATGAGTGTTTTTTTTTCAGTATAGCCAACTAAGTTTAGAAAAAATTGACTGATGATTTTTTTCAAATTCCGATAACAAAAATTTTGAAATGAAAATTTAAAAAAAAACAAGTAAAAGAAATTTAAAATGATAAATTTTGAAATACAAATTTAATGAAATTGCTACTTAATAAAAATCAACGTGCATTTTTTTTTCGTGAAGATGAAAAAAATAACAACAAATTTGTCTTTGAGTGTTTTAAAACAGAATCCAACAATTTATTGATATCAATTCAGTGCTCATTCTTTATATAAAACATCACACAGGGAAAAAAGCCTGTCGATTGATGTCCCTGAAATCACTCTTCAAGCATTTTTAAAAAGAAGAAAATTTAAGTAAAAGTATCTCCTAAAAATCATCAACATTTTGTCCTACAATTTAAACCCAATAAGTTTTGGGCTTTTTTTTATTTCTTATGAAAGTTGTAGGCCTAAAGCGATCAACTTTTCCGCCATTTATTTATTTTTAAAAACATTGCGAGGCTAAACTCTGCTCTGGATAGGTTCACAATTTAGTGTGTGTACGTCTCTGAAATCCAGATTTAAGTCTTTACACAAGTTAAATATTTGTCAGAACGATCAAAGAAAACGCAAGAACAAAAGAAGATCAAAGAGCGCGTCCTTGTTGAGGAATCCGGTTATCAATCTCAAAAAAAATGTTTGGCTGGCTCGTAATGAAAAAGTGTGGCCTTCGTAATGAAAAAGTGTGGCCTGGTAGTGACCTGGCTGGCGGAGAGTATCTCGAGTATCTTGTCCTCGATCTCCTTTAGTTGTCGCTTGCACATGGCGCCCTCGGTGATCAGCTGGTTCCTTTTCTCCTCCAGCTCTGGCTCCTCCATCGCCGCCACCAGATTCAACAGCTGGTTCTCCAGAGCCTCCCGCGTGATCATGAAGTTGATGATCGTCACCTGCAGCCAGTCACAGTCATGACCATTTAAGCAATCTGTTTAATTTATGATCATTTAAATAAACTTTTTAAAACATGACTATTTGAATAATCGGTTTAAATTATGACCATTTAAATAATCGGTTTAATAATCGGTCATGGCCATTTAAATCATCGGTTAAATTTCTTGTTTTGGAATATTTCATGAAGTGAACGATATTTTATTTTATGAAGGTAGGAACTATTTGTAGGGCGCATTTTGACCTCCCGATTTTGAATGCCTCGCACATAGCAAGATTGGTCAATATTAGTATCACATTAAAGCTCTTTTAGCCAGTATTTGAAAAGAAATAAAGAGTTCAAAAAACAGTCTCTGTTTTTAGTCCGATTTTCAGTCGCAAACTTGATTTCAGCTCTGATGACACTTTAATTGTATGTTTTTATGACAATTGGAGTCGGTGGACAAAATTTAGAATAACAAAAAATGACTTGTGGTCGGAAACCTTAGACGATCCCAAAGAATAGTTGGAGAGATTCGGCGCTTGAGCTTTTTGGCAAGAAGGGTTTCCGGAGCTACCAACGATTCTTGCCTCTTAAAAAGAAGGGAAAAAGACTGCATATCTATCCAGTTTTTTTTTGTTCGGATCAACTTAACAATCGACTTTTCTTTGGTATCTTCCAAATTGCCACGTCTGCAAATGGAAGCAGTAAATTAGCACTAGAGCGTTTTGTTTATTATTCAAATTTTGCTGCGTTCTGATTGGTCGAAAATACGACAACTTAATCTACTTAATAATTGCCCCCCTTTCTTGAAAGGGGGGCAATTGTTAAATAGATCCGTTGGATCTACTCAACAATCAGCCCCTTCAAGAAGAGGGGGGAGGGTGGTAAGTAGATTATGTTGTCGAATTTTCGGCCAATCAGAATGCAGCAAAATTCGAATTTACACAACGCTCTAGTGCGAATTTACTGTTTTGATTTACAGGGGTAGGGGTGGAGATTCTTTAGTAGATACCATAGGGTGGGGATCGATAAGTAGATTCGATCCTTTTTTTTTGTCTTCACCTTTACAGACACTTCGGGTAGATAGTGGGGGTTGAGTATGCGGGTCGTCATGTACAGTCGGAAGTCCTTGCTGAACTGGAACACATTGTCTCTCAGTCGGATGTACTCAGCGCCAGCCTACACACAACAGAACTCATGACGTCACATTTTATTACGAAAATTCGCTTCGATATCAGCATATTCATGATTGCAAAACATGCAAAAATCTTGTCATTCGAAACCTATAGATCGACTTATGCATAACAAAATGCATTGTTTTTTTATGCATTGTTTTTTTTTTGTCGCAGGCGCTATTAAGCCTACTTAAACTGTTCAAAAATTTTTGGTAAACAAATCTGAACAAATCAAATCAGGTCGAAGAATATTTTGAAATTGGATAATTTTGCGAGAGCTAAGTGCATTTCAAAGACGTGGTTTTCTAATGGTTTGTGCGCGCATTATGATTAGAATCGCGCTGCCTAGAAGTTTTCGTCTATTTTGTTTCAAGAAGTATAAATGTGCATTGACTTGATAGAAACTGATGGTGCATTTAGAAATAAGAGGTTCAGTGAGATAGTAAAGAGAGAGAAATATCTGTGAACAAATTACCATTCCAGCATCGCCTGTCTAAAAGTTTACAACAATCTAATCAGGTGAAAAATCAGTTGAACTTTCTTATTTGGCTTAATTTCAGAATGAGTCAAATTTGGCATCAAATTTGTATAATTTTACCAAACATTTCAGGAAAAATTAAAATTTTGCGCAAAAAATTAAGATTTTTTTTGTATTATGTATAAAATGAAACTATTGTCAATTAACTGAGCTATTAGTTGGCTGTCAAAACAGATTACTGAAAGATATGTGATCTTAAAAAAAGACTTTTTGATCAGCTTCGCCTGACTAATGTTTTTGAAGTTACCTGTTTGAAGGTCTGTTTGAGAAGCACAGGGTCCAACACTGGGTCCAGCTCCTCCCCCACATTCTCAATCAAACAGGGGGCTCCAAACTGGAACAAAACACAGGCACGATTTATATCGAGTAGCTTTAAGTTATTTTTGACGATTAATCCATCTGGCAGTTTTTCCGTGTGGATGTCGACCGTCTTTGCTCTACCTCGTAGTGATCTTAAAAAATTTTGATGTCACAGTCATTTTTGTTTGTTCAGCGTCAACAATTAAAAACTTAAACTTAGTTTTTCGACATTTGAAAAAATTTGAGCAATTAACGTCCAAACCGGTGATTTAATGATTACCCGTACTGACAAAAAACAGTTTGCAACCAATTTTATACAAATAAAGTAGATATTGAATTTCTAAATGTTGATTCCAATCCATTTTAATTGACTAAGTTTAATCTCAAAGTTTGGCTTAAAAATCAATTTCAATCTGTTTTAATAAAAACTTGAATCAAAGTTTTCGCAGTGTTTACTGTTTGATTTTTTAATACGCAATTTACACCATGTTGATTGATTCAATTTGATTAAATAACAAAAACGGGAATGTCTTGCAGAAAATACGGTTTTTTCCTTATTTGATCAGATTTGATTATATTAAAATCCGCATAACTGCTGGAAATTGCTATTTAAATGTAAGTGGAGGTTGTTTACATGTGTCATTAAACAGTTTAAACAAATGGGCTAAAGCAAAAAAGATTTTGATTTTTTAGAGAAAACTACATAAATTGATCGTAATCTCAGTTTTATCACTGCGGGTAATTTTTTTGCCTTTCTGATTGCAAATTTTGGCATTAGAAATGACAAAAAAATGTTTTTGACAATTTTTTTATTGAAATGAATGAAAATAAAAAATTCTGACGCTAAAATGAGCATTTTTAGTTTAAAAAAAATAATTCCATTTTCTTTTGTTGATCATAAAATGGTTAGTCATTTTGCAATAATTCAACTTTAATGCTATTGGCGTTACGGTTATTCTCTTCCGTCTTCTACGCCGCAAATCACTTCTTTGAAGCAAAAGAAAACACCATGTATTTTACCAAAAGAAACTCAGCTGAAACTTTTGAAATTATTTGCAGCTTCGAAAACCAAAAATATGAATTGTTTTTTAAAATGAACAGCATTATGCCACGAACGTTCAATCCAACAAGCATTCCTTATTTCCCCAACTTCTCAAGCCAGCTTAAGTTGTTCTGTTATACAAAACTGGTAGTAAAACTGATCCTGGCAATTGAAGGCCCCTTTTTTTGCTACCGGCTATTTGCAAAAATTTTGAGAAAACTGAATTTTAAACAGTAAAATTACTATACTATACACTTCTAAAACTATGCAAAACATATATTTAACCAATTCTACAATATGGTGTTCTAGTTTATGTTACAATATGTAGAGCGGGTATGAAAAAATTGAATGGTATGAAAAATAAATTAACCAGAAATTTTTTCTTCAATGAAAAAAAAAATCAGTCTATCAACGACATTGCATGTCTGCGAACTTTTTAAACTTTCAAGCAAATTATCAGGAAAACAAGAAAAACAAGAACAACAAGACTGCTCGTATCAGGGCGAAGCCCTGAATGTTCCGACCGCCTTTTAATGTTTATGGAGCAGTAATAATATTTAAGAAACTAAATGAAATAAAACAAAATGAAAATTTTTTTCTAAAATTTGAATTTTTTTATGAAAATCATCCCCCCACACGCCATATTAAGCACAAAAGGATAGATTTCGCTCCTTGTAACAAGTCAATTATGGCAAATAAGCTTCTTTCAACCAATTTGGAACGATTTCTAAGACGGATTAACTCTCCGCTTACGCGTTAATAGCGCGAAATATATCGCGCGTTAATTGTCCCAAATTGGCCAAAATGGCAATTTTTAAACCCCCGTAACTCTGCGAAAAATGATCACAGGTGAAATATCTTTTCAAATTTAAGCCCAGGACAACAATACCTTTCGAATGATATAAAAAAATTCCGTCAAAAAAGGCTAGTTAAAAAGTCGAAATTTGTCTGAAGAAAAAAAAACCCCACCCCGAGCACAAATATTCCGTTACTTTCGTATCGAAAGTCGGAACAATAAAAAAACAATTGATACAAAAGAAGTTGAAGAAATTATTAGACAGAATACACGAAACAAATTCCTGAAAACAATTGAGATCAGTTAACGCAGAAAAAGGTTAACTTCGCGAGAGTCAATATTCTGTTTTATTGTATCGTCAGACTGGACAAAACAATTTTAAGTGACATCTGCAATGTCACTCAAAAACGGATTAGTGGCTCTTTTCCAGTTTCCCCTTTCAAAATATCGAGATTTATGTTTGTTTTACGTGTTATTACGGCTAAAAGCGTGATGTTACGCTGTAATGTATGAAGAACAAATCTGTTCACAGTTGTCGATTTGTTCACCACGCCAAATTTCATTGCATTTTGAAAACGTTAAATAAGCTTTACAAAATTGAATTTGAAAAGGGGGAAGCTAGATTCAATTGCGTTTTTTTTAGTTTGGCTATTTCTTTTTGAATTGATAGATGTAACCTCGTTCAAAAGTTCATTTTTTTGGTTTGGCTATGTCTTTTTGAATTGAAAGCTGCTCCTTTGTTGACTAACTAATTTGAATGAGCGTATAAGTAATAGTATATTATAAATTACCTAAGTTCGATGCAATAGCTCGAAAGAGACATCACTCGAAAAGCTGAAACGCCTATTTGATACTCTACCAAAATGGTACTACCTTCATGGATAATCGTTTACGGTTATGACTTTTGTCAATGTTCCAAATTGAAAACAAAACTATTAATTTGAATATACAAAAATCTGTTTTACAGTGTAACCATTAAATTCAGGACGTTGTATTAAAGACAAAATTGATTGTATTTGGGTGGCTAACGTGTAAGCCAATTTTTTTGTTAGAAAAAATGTATTTCGTTAGAAATAATAAATTTTGTGAGAAATAATAAAATTTTCTGAGGTGGGGGGGGGGGGGGGTCTTGTCTCACAGTGATGCAGTTCTCGAGTGTGCGCAGATAGTCTGTGTCTGATAACTTGACCACCATCAGTTTGTTCACTCTCTCCATGTTTTTGATCCACTTGTTCGCCTGAGACTGGGGGTCAATCATCAGGGGCCAGCGGCTACTGTTCTTCACCAAAATTGCATTGTCCAGTGAGAAACTAAAACAAACCACACAAAATCATTTTTATCATTTTCAATCGTTCCGATCTTATGTCCTAAAACTTTGTTTTTCGACATGAAGATGATTAGTTGTATCGAAACGTGTTGTCAACTCATTTGTTGGTCTAGTTTTAAAAACATATTAGGACCAGTTTAACAAAAACATGCTAGGTTATCCTATGCCATCTTGGAGACAAAAATGAAATGTTGAAAAAATCCATTTTGGTTCGTTTTTCATTTCTTTTACATTTTTTCACAATCTTTAAGAATGAGCATGCTAATTGACCCGTTTTTGAACTAAAATAAAAAAATAGAATAAGTTACGCTCGATCGAGAAATGACCAGCAGCATTAACCATTTCACAATTTCAAAATTGAATCTTTTTGCCGAGTAATAGCGTTCTCATTATTCTGAGCTTATCCTTAGGCTTCCATTTTTACGTTTTTAAAAAAAAAAACAAGCAACTGTTCACAAGACCTTTTAAACATTACTGCAATATATTATATTGTTCGAAGTTCGAAATATAAGCAAATTACTGCAAAATGTTTAAAAAAACAAAACCGTTTTTACATTTTTTGCAAAAACACTAAGAAATGTAAAAAGAAATCAAGAAGTACACTTTTACACTTTTTTCGTTCAGCACGCAGACAAAAAAAATTGATCCCACAAATTGCAATAAAAAATCAAAAAACGCTGCCCGCATTGGAGTTTCATGAATAAAAATCGGTTATAATTGAGTTTCACTGTCAATGTTTACAAAAGTGAAAAAAAAATCGATTATAGTCAATTAAAAAGGGATTATAATTTTACTATTTTTCGAGGAAAAAAAATCCATTCTTAATTCATTATAATCGATTTTTTTCATTTTGTTGAGATGCGAATTTCAACGCACAAAAATTTTTTTTAAATTATTTTTGATTTTTTTTGAAAAAAAAATAATTTTGTTTCTTTTTATATTACTCAATAGCTGAACTTTGTTCTTTTCAACAATTTTCCGCTTCTTTTTCCTCCAATGTTTGTTCTTTGCCTCCTTTGTACCCTTACACTCGCCGTCCCCCACCTGAACCAATCCCAACCCTGCCCCCACCTAAACCAACCACCAAATGAATCCTAACTGAACCAAACCCCCCCCCCCCGCACACACACTCACTATACCTGAACCGGATCAGAGGGTGAGGGGTTCAAGTGGATGGGTGGGTTGTTGGTTCAGGTGCGGGGTCGGGTGATAAAGGTGGGGCGGGTGTGGTTCAGAGTGGGGGTTGTAAGGGAGCAAAGGGAGAAGAGGTCAACGAAAACTTTTTCAATTTGATTTTAGGTGTAGAAAAAAATTTGGACGTACATTCACGTTGCAAAGATTTCGCATTACTCATTTGTTAAATGCAGAATCTCTTGCAAAATTTTGCACGAGGCGAAACGCAATTAAAGTGAAAAAAAAATCCATTTTGATATGATTTTGTACTTGTTTTATAATCCATTTTAATATTTCAAACGAATTATAATGCATTATGTTTTTGCCAGAAAAAATGGATTTAATTCTATTTTTTTGTCCAATTTTGTTGTCTAAGCCTAACATGGGAATCGATTATATTGACAATGTTTGAGACCACAAAAATCCATTATAATCAGTTTTTTTTTTCACTTCTTTTTTTAGTTGCAAGTGCATTCAGGGTTGGTTTGAAAAACTTTGTCTCAAGTTGTTCAAATTTAACAAACGACATCTCGTTCGAAAGGTTGAAAAAGAAGCCCAGAAAAGCCAATAAGACGACTTGAATTGAATTTTGAGCCTTTCGAGAAGACGATGAAATATTTGTGCTCAGGTTGTTTTTGTTTTCTCCAGACTAATTTTGACTTTTAACATCGATTTTCGGGCAAAATATTTTTATGCTATATGAAAAAAAATCCGATCCTGAGCTCAACTTTCAGCAGATGTTAACTGAAAAAAAATTTCGGGGTTTGCAAAAAGCCACCTTGGATAATTTGGGACTAAGAACGAGCGAGACATTTCGCGCTATTAACACATAAGCAGCTATTTAGTTTGCTCATGAATCATTCGAAACTGATTTGAGGCAAGACATTTGGTGTAACTAACATGTTACCAGACGCTTGCAACATGACTTTTGTGTAAATACAAGTGTAAAAAAATTGTTGTGTAGAAAACAAGCATCGTTTTTCGACAGTTAACGTTTTGAGAAAAAGGTTGCAAAGCACTAGGTAGACAACTTAAGAAACAAATCGGCCAGGAAGCAGGGAAAGTTTTTTAGAACATATATTTATGGCACTAAATTTACTAAACAAAAGCTATCATCGTAATTTTCAATCAATCAAGAATATGAAGTGAAGGTTCTCTGCTCAATGCTAGAAACTTCAAAAACAGCACACGTGGAACGGGAATTTTTTTCTTCCAATGCAAGGACACTTGCTGAAATCCGACGTTTTTTCAAGTAAAACTTAATTGAAGTTGCGAACGGTTCTATTTAGCAAAGTATGACCTGGTAGTTTCTTTAATTTTGCCAATAAAAGTAGAAGCTAATTTACCTGTGGGCGGTTTTTACTGCGCAGAAATTTTTCGTCTTTTTTCATGTCTGATTTTTAGCTGCAAAAGCAAATATTTTCAATCAAAATTTCTAGAGAGTTTCTGTAAAGTTTTACACAAGTATAAGAAAGCCGATAGAACAAAATTTGATAACAAAATAACTCAACTTTGTGTGAGAAAAGGTGGACGCTGCAAAAATGATGCACTTCGTTCAATTAGTGAACGTTAATTGACACTCTTGTCCAAAGCAACATAACCACAATAATTTAGAGTAGTCACAATTATTCATACCAATACAAATCCTTTTCAATTTAATTTTTGTCAATCAAGCCAAAAAAAATCAGTCAAAAATGGCTAGTTAAAAAGTCGATATTTATCTGAACAAAAAAACCACCCGAGCACAAATGTTCCGTTACTTTCGTTACAAAAATCAAACCAATAACGAAAAATCATTTAACAAAACGGCTCGCATTTTGTTAAATGACTTGCATTAAAATTGTTAACTTGCCTCGCATTAAAATTGTTAACTAGCTTAAAACTGTATTATTACAATTGTATGATAACTCCATTTTTGAGCTGATTTTTTACTTTTCAACTAGCAAGTTTTGATGGATTTGTTATCATTTATGTTGTCTTGATCTAAAATTTAAAAAAAATGAGTGATCATTGTTCGTAAAGTTATGAGGGTTTAAAGATTGCCAAATTTTTTCAGTGTCGAGAACATAAATTCTGAAATTTTTTTTTCAGTGTCGAGAAAAACCAGTCAGAAAATTTTGATATTGATCTAAAACCAAGATAGTAAGGTGAAACAAAGCATGCCTTTTTTACTATGAATATAAAATAAAGTTATTGTTTTTCAAAATTTTAAACGAGTTTTGCTTTTCTCTCATCTTTTTTCTAAAAAAACTGTTTTCCGATTGGCCTTTTTACTATGAATGTTAAATAGTTAATTTTTCTTTTTTTCGTTAAGATTTTTTATCACAACACGCAGAAAAAACGAAAAAACTTTTTGTTTTTTATTAAAACTTTGATCGGAACATTCTGTGCTACTTGCACAGTAACCGCCTATACTTGGTCTACTTGAGTTTGGTTGGACTATTGATGAATAAAGATAATCGCTGCAGCTTTGAGTTAATATAACTATTTATAGATTAACTAAGAACAATTAAACAGTTTTAATCCCGTGTTAACATCCATACTTAAAAAAACGTACCATACAAATCTATAAAACAAAATGTTTTTTATCTTTTTCCATACATTGAGTGTATAAAAAAAATTTTAAAAAATCAATTTAAAAAAAATAGCATGATAAGAATTTTCTTACGTGACTAGAAAACACTCCACTTTTCCAAAATTTTGTGCACTTTTTGATAAATATTGATTAATAACAAAAAATAAAACTTTGTGTTTTCGATTCAATTGACAAAATAAGTTTTGTTTTGCGAAAAAATAGGCTACAGTTTTCAACCATCAGGTATTTTTTGGAATAAAAACTTTTCAACCATAAACAAAAGCTTACAATTCCTAGTTGTTTGTAATATATTTGAAAGAAAATTAATGCATCACAGTTTTTAGCGAATAATCAAATGCAATTCACCTGGGCAATTCATGCCACTCAACTTATGTGATTTTTTTGCTGAGGAAAAAAATTTGGTTAATTTTTCTTCGGACCTAATAAATACTGAGCGAGCTCGAGTTTTTTTTATTAAAAAAATTCATGTCAAGCAATTTTCCTTTGAAGAAAAAATGGTTATCATACAATTTTCATATATTTTATATGAAAATTGTTTTTATACTAGTTTCGTACGCATAGAATTCTACGAAAATGCTTGATAAGCATTTTTTTAGGTACGAAAATTGTATGACCAGCTTTTTTGCTCAACCCGGTGATTCTATAAAAATCGCTTGTTTGAAATTAAAGACCCAAATCAAGATTCTTGAAAATTAAGAGCTAGGAAATGACAATAAAAATTCTATTGAATCGTTGCTAAAGTCATGTTCCTAAGGTTGCAGCGCTTTATTTAAAAAAATATTTGAAACGTAAAATCAGTTTAAAAAGTATGTGGACCAATTTCACATCCTCAAACTCAAAGCCGTTTAATGGCTCTGAGTTTGCATTTTCGGATAATCATAAAAGAGTAATTTAAACGCAGCGCTTAGCAAGTTTAATATAAAATGAACGGTGGAGAATCCTAAAAAAGATTGATGTATTATTTTACATCATAAGAAAAGCTGTGTTGTGATTCTTGTTGCGGTTTTCGAAAAAAATGAAGTAAATTTATGCTTGGAGTAGCTTTTTTGTTCCGACTAATTTCACCAAAATTTTGTTCGCATGGAAATCCATATTGGATTTTCAAGACTACAAAGCGTGTGAGCTTGCTGAGTTAGGTTAAAGACTGTTCAAAATTTACTTAGTGTTTCTAATACGTATTAGGATCTTGCAAGATCTTTTAAAGAGATGCATCCTCTTTAAAAGAATCTTGCAAGATTCTTGCAAGATCTTGCAAGATAACCTCCCTTGATCGACTAGGGACGTCAATTGTTCATGAGTGTTGAGTTATCCCGCAAATTTAAATTTTCCATATTGTAGCGAGACAAACTGAATTTTTACTTTAATTCACCATACGACTCAAATTCTAGCTACTTTTATTTGATGTATTGACAAAAAAAAACATAGTTTTCTCGCGACCAGATATGAGGCAGGCAGAACATTGAGTGCTTCGACCTGATATACGAGCAATTTTGTTTGTTAATTTAGTGCTATCTTCAGGCTTAACTCATTGTTTACCTAATAATGCTTGATTTAAATGATCTGAATCTAATTTCAATCAAGTGAATATTTTCTCCTCCACGTCAGCCTGCAAAACCTTGTCCAGCTTCTTAAAAGAGATTCTTTGAAAAACCCCTTTTCAAAAAGAATTTAACTTCCGTTTAAAAAAAATCATTGTAAACAAAGACCAATGGATTGGGCGATACATATATTTTTCGTCTTAGGTTCGACTTTCGATCAAAGTAATGGAATAAAAATTTGCCTCGAGTGTGGCTTTTTCTCCAGACTGGCTTTGACTGATATTCAAAATATTTGAAAACTGTTACTGAATTTAACTCAGGTTTTAAAGGATATCTCACCTGCAACCGTTTTTGAGGAAGTCACAGAGAATTTGAACATGCCAATTTGACCAATTTCGGATAATTAGCACGCAGTATATTTCGTCTTAAGAAGGCGTGAGCGCCGAACTGAATCATTCCAACTTGAATCAAGGTGGATCGTTTGGTTTTATTAAAACATTACAAGCGCAAAAGTTATCACTTTGTTCTGTTAATTGCGTGGGGGGATAAAAACAAAAATCAGTTTTTTTGCCATTAAAAACGTTTCTTTGGGACATTAAAGCGCAATCGGAACATAGAAAGCTTCTTCCTGATACAAGCAGTTTTGTTTTTATTTCTATTGTAACTTACATCAGAACATGAGTGGTTGGTCGTAATAATTTAATAATTGGGTGCTAAAAGGACTTTACAACTTTGTTTATTCGAGTTTTTCCTTTTCAAGTAACAAGCAAATTCTGGTTCTAGATAAGTAATCTCCACATTCATAGTAGATACGTTCGCCTTGTGTTCTGCTTTTAACATTTTTTTCTAGCCCTCAAGACGCTCTAAAAAGATGTTATTTGCTTTTTTTCAAAAACATTACCATTGCCCGTAAACACATTAGCGGTCACAATGCGAAGTATGCTAAATTCGACTTGATTAGCTATCTTTTCTTCTTTGAGTTTTTTCAACTGCGTTTTCAACGTGAGTTTGCGCTGAACGAATATAAATATTCAAAACAGCGCCGATAATACTCAGTTAAATTGCAGTTTAACTTTCACCTTCATCAACAACAGTGCTTTGTAGATCATAAAACATTTATGATAGAAGTTGTATCTGGATTTGTCTGGCGAATCATTGCCAATCGTGGTATAAAACCAGCTCCAGAAGCTAACTCACTTTCCCGATTAAATAGTTTTTCTATTTTCACTTTGACGCTGGAAATGTTTGATGCCACACAAACATTTTGGGAAAAACTGCTTCACTTTCCTTCAAACTTCTGAAACTTTGCAGAAAAATTTAGATTTATTTTTTTATTTATTTAAATTGAAAAGTTATAACTCTGAATCTGGTTTTTTAAAGAGAAATGTTTGTATTAATAATATTAACATCATTACTTCTTTCGACAAGCTCAATTTTAATTAAGCAAATCAACAAATACAACGGATCAAAAAACCCAGTTTCAACCAAAGGGTTGGACTTAACCATCTCTACCATTTACGATGAACCCTTTCTATTCGAAATCAGCTGTTTAGAGAACCGAACTCAAAGAATTGGTTACATTCAGGACTTAATAAACGAGTTACAACTTCGTATGGGGTTTGAATACAAGTACGTAATAGTTCCGGATGGAAATTACGGAGCTCCGATTGGAAACGATACCTGGAACGGAATGGTCGGAGAAGTTTACCATGGTAAAGCTGACATGGCGTTTGCCGATCTCACAATTAACGCAATGCGCTCCGAAGTTGTCGATTTTACAGTTCCGTTTATGCGAATCGACTACGGGATGATTTTCAAAAAACCGACTGTAAAATTTGGTATAGTGGCTTATTTGATGCCATTCTCAAAAAAAGTTTGGTTTACAATTCTAGGAAGCCTAATTTTGGTATCAATCACGCTTTACTTTTTTGGGTTGTTCTGTTCATCTTCAAATAACCAGCTTGAAAATATTGGTTGCTGTTTTTATTTTTCATTCGCGTGTCTTTTTGCACAAGGACCCGAAACGTATCCAAAATCATTGGCCTCCAGAACAGCAACCGTATCATGGTGGTTTTTCTCCTTAGCGATTCTTACCATTTACACTTCAAGTTTAACGTCAATGCGTACCGTAAACCGGGCAACTTTACCGCTTAGAACAATCGAAGATTTGCTCGATTACCCAGACTTTCATTTCGCAATAGAACCCGGGCAGGCTGCTGAGTTAACGTTCCAGACTTCGACTTATGAACCGTTTCAGAGAATGTACCAAGATATGATAAGTCGAGATACAGGGTTCTATTTAATGCAAGAAGGCATGGACAGGGCAAGATCCCGAAACGACTTCGCTTTTATTGTCGAGTCGCCGTATATTGAGTATGAACTAACCATTGCACCCTGTGACCTTGAGGTCATCTTCAGTACAACTAGCCCCAAAACAGGAGTGGGATACGGAATCGCGTTTCCAAAAGGATCGCCGCTGACTGAAGTTTTTTCGACCAAAATTTTGGAACTAATTGAAGATGGTACCATTGCGACGATTCACAGAAGATGGTTTGTAACTAGATCACAGTGCTCGGAAAAAAAGAAGTTCGCTGAAAACGTAGAAGTCATTGTTTTCAAAGATATACAAGGGCTATTTTTCACATTTGGAATTGGTATCGTTGTTGCGTTCGTCATTTTTCTGGTAGCAAGTGTGTTCAAAGTTGCCAAGACGAAATACAACATGCAGAACTGTAAAAACCGACAACTAAACTATTAAAAAAATAAGCAAAAAATAAAATTAGTCAACATATTTTAGAATTTAAATAATATGATTCAATAAACTTTAGAATGGAAATAAAATTATTCCATAAATTTTAGAAGTTCTTAAAAGTTGTTTAGCTGAAGTTTTAAACAATACTGAAGACCTTTGGTGCTAGGTTGGTGCTTCCCAAAGTGCGAACATAGCAACTACGGTTTCCACGAATTTCTCTTAGCAGAGTTAATTTGGTTGCCTTTATTGAGAAATAATTCAATACTAATTTCAGGACAATTGGATTGGGCACATTAATTCACATCCATGGCAAAACTCTACAGCCAAATTTTGTACCCAATTTTTAGAAATAGGCTTTATGCATTTTATTCCAAGGTAAAAACAAAAAAAAAAACAAATTCCTTAGCAAACAAAAAAAGAGACTTAGCAAAAAAATGGGCCGGCCTATCCAGCTTCTTCACAAAAAAAAGAACCAAAACCTAAGGAACAAACTTAACGAGTCTTTGGTCTCACAGTTAGCAAGCCATAACTCATAACTAGACCAAAACCAGTCCAAATCTTATCCCCATTTGCAAGAAATTGACTCATTTTAACTTTTCACGGCAAAATTGGGACTTGAAGCCGAGCTATAAAATTTTTTTGAAAAAATTTGAAAATGGTTACAATTGCATTGAATTAAATTTTTGTCAGAATTTTGCGTAACAACCTGTAAAGCCACTGTTGAAAGCAAACAAAGATAAGACTGCCGTATCAGGGCGAAGTTCTGAATAGTTCCGACTGTCTTTTTAGGTCTATGGAGCAGTAATAACATGAAAAAAATGTAATAAAACAAAACTAAAATTAAAAAAAAATTGAAAATTTTTATGAAAATCATCACCCCCAAACGCCATTTAAAGTTTAAAGAAAAAGATCTCACTCCTAGTAAAAATCAATTATGACAACTAAGCTTCCTTCAACCAATTTGGAACGATTTTGAAGACGGAGTAAATATCCACTTACGGGTTAATAGCGCAAAATAAATCGCACGTCAATTGTCCCAAATTGGTCAAAATGGCAATTTTTAAGCCCCATAACTTTAACTTTACGAAAAATGATCGAAGGTGACACTGATAACTTTCGAATGATATAAAAACTTTCCGTTAAAATCGGCTAGTTGAAAAGTCGAAATTTGTCTGAAAAAACCACCCCGATTACAAATATTCCGTTACTTTAGTTACTTACGTCGAAAAATTAACCGGATGATCCCACTTGTCTGATTAAGAAAGAAAAATTTTGAGACAATAAAAGAACTCCTAATCAGAAAAAAATCTAAGAGTTCGAAAAAGAACTGTAATTATAGTTAAGAGAACGTAGTTGTAAAAGTAATAACCTTGGGAGGTCAGCACTCATCAAATGTCGTCTGATTGAATGAAAAAAGAGAAAAAAGTGCAGAAAATTTTTTCTAGACACTGACAAATTTCTTGATATATTTAGGGAATCAATCCAACTAATAGGGCTTGACTTTAATTACACACTTCCCCAGCTACGAGTTTTCTTTTAGGTTGTCAAAACTGGCTGAAAAAAACTGATCCTATGTCATAGCTCCTTCCGATATGCCATAGCTCCTTCCAGTCCCTTCCAACACTTTTCTAAACCGGCAAGTCAGTATGAATTGCGTAATACATACAAATTGTACACCATCGAGCTGTTGCGGCTGTGTTGTGTGGCTTCTCGAATAAACGGCCTGGAGTTTATTTTGTGAAAAAGCAAAAGCAAGAATTATAGTTTTTACTATTGCAAATCTGTGGAACCATCTATTATATTCTATTATCACCTCAAAAACGTAAAATTTATCAATACTTTACTTAATTGGCGTTCCTTTTAATTTTTGGTAGCATAATATTTAGTTTTATAAAATTTAGTGATCACATTTTTTTAAAATAATTTTCATAGACATATTTAATCTGCACGAAAAATTCCGACCGCACTGATTTTTTTTCTTAAAAAAATGGAAAATGAAAAAAAATTGTTTTTCTCCATTTTTTTCCGCTCAAATTATCCTGGTATTTTTAAGGCGATTTACCTAAGTAGAAAAATAAAAAGTGAATAGCAATTAGCAGCTATTATACCGTTAAAATAGTAGCGCAGTTTTAACGTTATAATAGCTGGTAAGTGCTACTCTTTTGTCCATTTTTCTACTTAGGTAAAATAAATTTGGAAGTCAGGTTCTTGATAAATTTTTGTCAACTTTTATCTACTTTAGCTTGAACAGAGAAACAAATCAGACTAGACAAGAATAGTCTGATTTTTTTCTCTGCTAAAGCTAAGGTAGATGAAAGCTGACAAAAACTTAGTGAAAACTTGACCTGCAAACTTAATGGTACTACAATTTTAACGTTATAATAGCTGCTAATTGCAACTAATTTGCCCATTTTTCTACGACAGGAAGTTTTGAACAACAAAAAATCTTTTTTTTGCAATTTCAGAATTTTTTCTTTTTTATAAATCAGTGCGGTTGAAAAATTCTGAGCTAAATGCACAGCAACCGGACATTCTTGTTTAATTTGTTTTTCAGCTTATGAGTTTTTAGTTTCTTGAAAATCAACTACGAATTGATGAAACAACAATAACCCATTGTTGACAATTTTTTGAAAAATTGATCAAAAGGGTTTGTTCTAAAGTGATCAAAGTACTTGATTCAAGAATACTCTCGAGGTTTAAAAGCATTTCGAAACATCTTCAAATCAAAAATTGGGCAACAAAAACAATTTTCGAGATAAAAAAAGGTTAAAATTGGCAATTGAATTTGCATATCAGAGCCATTAAATTCCATGGAAAATATAACTTATTTGAAGTCTTCATCTAGAGGAGGCCGCTTGAATATTAATTATTCTTGAAAAAACGGGCACGATAATAAGAACTTTAGAATTAATTATTTAGTCCTTTTTGATCGAGTTCTGAGGCTGATTAGATCACAAATAATCTTTACTTTCTTACCATGTATCTTTTACAATCAATCTTGAAAAAAATGCATTTGAAAGCAAACTAGTTTGTGGCCGCTTGAGTGTTATTTATTCTTGAACGATTTTAAGAACTTTAGAATTATTTATGTAGTTCCTTTTGATCAAGCTGAGTTCCTTTTGAAAGCGAACTAATTTGAAAAATAATTTAATACTTTGTTTCTTCAAAAGCATTTGGCATTTTTAATTCGAGATAGGCCCGAACAGCTGAAGTAGAATTTATTGCTTTGAGTTTAAAAAAAACTAATAAAATATTCAGAGAAAATTCGGTAAAATGGCAACTATGGTTTTGCTTTGGGCATTGCTAGTTTCCCTCCTGCAAACGAACTGTTCACTTTCTACTGAAGGTCTGCTCTTAAACATGTCCACTATACTACGACAACCTTTTCTCTACGACATTGTCGACCTTGACAACAAAACTAAACGAGTGGGCTACATTCAAGACTTAATCAACGAGTTGCAACTTCGTATGGGGTTTGAATACAATTATTTAATAGTTCCAGATGGAAATTACGGGGCTCCAATTGGTAACGACACTTGGAATGGGATGATCGGGGAACTATATCACGGAAGAGCCGACATGATTGCTGCCGACTTAACGGTCAATGCTTTGAGATCCGAAGTTGTCGAGTATACTGTGCCTTTCATGCGTATCGATTTGGGAGTCGTGTATAAGAAACCGACTGTCAAGTTCGGCGTTCTCGCCTACATGATGCCATTTTCGAACCGAGTTTGGCTCGTTATTCTCGGCAGCTTGTTCGTGACATCAGCCGCTTTGTACTTTTTTGGCATGTTTGAAACTAATAAAGACCGATTTGAAAGCGTCGTTTCCTGTTTGTACTTCGGACTCGCCTGTCTTTTCGCCCAGGGGCCCGAATACTACCCGAAGTCTATATCGGCACGAACGACTGCAGTTGCGTGGTGGTTCTTCTCACTGATGATGCTGACTTTGTACACTTCAAGTTTGACAGCTATGTTGACAGTAAATCGAGTTCAGCTGCCCATTGAAACTGTTGAAGATCTCTTGGACTATCCTGATTTTCACTATGCGGTCGAACCGGGCCAGGCTACAAATTTAGCATTCAAGTTAACATCCTACGAGCCGTTTCAGAAAATGTACCAAGATATGATAAGTCGCGACACGGGATTCTTTATCGATTACATAGGAATGGAGCGAGTAAGATCTCGCAACGACTTCGCATTCATTCGAGAATCTCCATACATCGATTATGACATAACTTTTGCACCCTGTGACCTTGAGGTCATATACAGTTCGGCAAGCCCAAAAACAGGAGCAGGATATGGATTTGCTTTTCCAAAGGGATCCCCCCTAGCAGACATATTCTCAGCTAAGATTCTTGAGCTCGTCGAAGATGGTACAATTGCGAAAATACACAAAAAATGGTTTGTTTTGCGGTCACAGTGTTCAGACAAGAAGAAACTGGCAGAAGAAGTCAGCACAATCAATTTCAAGGAAATACAGGGAATTTTCTTGACTTTTGGACTGGGTATTGCGATATCGTTTGTATTGTTTGGCATACGACTGGCACGGAAAGCATTGCAAGCCAAAGGATGCCCGGAGACGAGGTTCATGCGGAAAAAGAGCCGATAAGCTCGAATTGCAATAAATCATATATTTAAGTTTATATTAGAAGTAGCAAAACAAATCTAGTTGGTATATAGTAGTGCGTGCTGTTTTATTTATATTTAAAAACCCCTGCAAAATTATGCTCAAAGTTTCCCAGAATATATTTTTTTTCATGTTCATTTTGTATCGCAAGTGACGCAAACCTTGCTTCATCTCTATGCCAAATTTTTCCTGTTCGTGGTATAAATGACGGAACTAGACGAAAACTTAGAACGTTAGCAAAACGGATATAACCGACCACTGTTGCCTCCAAGAAACGAAAACTTAAACACAGATGCAAAGCTGAGCTTCGCACCACTTGCGATATCAAACAAGAAAAAAAACTTTAAAAAAAATCAAAAAAGATTTAAAAAAACTAGATCTTTTAAAATGAACAAAGTTAATTTTGAAACAAAAACATTGCAAGACAATAAAACGTATAATAGGCATCGGACGATAAAATACCTAGCAGTAACAAAGCCGAAAATACCATGTCAGAAACCCTTTAGACCGAAAAAAAAAAAAAAAAAAACTTTAGACTTCTGAAAGGTTAATAAGTCAACTTTACCTTCAAAACACTTTATTGGCTCGTCAAATGAATTAAAATGAGGCCGCTGAGCCGATAGATAAAAGGTCGAAAACTATTAATTTCAGTAAAAAGAAAAAAACTGCCGAAAAAAATTTATAAACAATTTGAGACTAAGAGAAAGTTATTAAGTTCCCCTCAGCCTCAAAACACAGACATGCACACATAAAAAAATTTTGCTCGTCAAAAAAAGTGATGAGGCCAATAAGGCGATATATTATAGGCCGAAACCTATAAATCCTAAAAAAAATGAGAAAACCAACGAAAATTTTGAAAAAGTTGTTATCATGAAAAAATTGATTTATATTCCTATTAGAAATCTTAGCATTTTTTGCAACACAAAGGTGAGCAAAACAAATTTTCGGCGAGATGACTCAATATTAGGTCACAAAACCGATAAAAATTAGGCCGAAACCTATCAAGCCGAAAAAATGAAAATAGAACAAAAAAATAGCAAAAATTTTTGTTGAAACGACTCGAAAACAGGTCAAGTTCAGTGAAATTACAAACAGCAGAGATAACTCAGAACACTAAGAGCAACTTTTTTTCTAAAAAACACTAACTCGGCTTGAGTGAATATGATGGAACCATACTTGACTTACTATGAACTTTCTTTGAGGTCATTAAAACTGTGGAGAGGAAAACCGTCCTACGCCAACATTCCTTTCCACTCCATTAAGAGTGGTCGTAACACTAATCCTAATTATAGCTCAATAATTAAAGTGGGCCTAAAATGCACACCTAAACAACTTAAGTTCGGAGAGCAGCTGCAAGGTAGATATGTTTTTTCCGATTTTCAAGAATCGTGCAAAGCCGAACATGATCTGCAATTCATTTGCCATTTTACTTTATTAATTTAAATCATATTATTTAAAAGAAAACATCCTTTATGTAAGGTCGGTACTGCTTTTCGCTCACACAAGAAAAAGATTTTAAAAAAAGTCCGACCGAACGAAATGATAAATATTCCAAATGTTAAATCATATTTCAGTTTCAAGGGGTTATGGTAACTTAATAGGAAAGTAGCACTAAATTTGAGGTTAAAAAAGAAACTAAAATGAAAAAGTCTTCAAATCGTTGAGAACAAAACACATTCATAGAATTCATGAAAAAATTTTGTGCCTTTAACCAACTACAATTCGTTTTTTTTAACTTATCCTAATCCGGTTTTAAAACTTCTGAAATCAACATATATGCAGAAAACAAAACAAAGCCCTAAGTTTGCAAACTTCTCTTTACGTGCATCAGATATTTTCAGTGAAAACTGAGATTTTAAACAAAAAAGCCTGTGACTTTCCGCCCATCTCCTCAAGCAGTATCAAGCAATATCAAACTTCCCCTCAAGCAGTGTGGCGAAATAATTTTGCTCCTGGTAGTTTTTTTCCAGGCATACTTTGAACTGTTTTACTAGAAGTTTTTGAAAGATTTTTGAAAAATCATTCGTAAGGTATTGTTGTCCTATGCTCAAAGTTAAAACGATGTTTTACCTGTGATCAAAAATTAAAGATTTTGTGAGAAAATTAAAGATAATTTACTCAATTATTTTGTCAGCAAAATTTTTTGGGCTTAAGTGCAATCAGAATATTCATTCAAGGTTTTGCCCTGATACACGAGCATTCTTGATTCATTTCAGAAATCGTTCCAAAATATTTAGTATAAGTTATGTTTTTCTACATGCAAAATTCATCACTTTGTCTTTATAGAGCGTGTGCAGAATAGTGTTTAAAAAATCAAAAAGAAACTACTATTAGGTTGTTTAGATTGAATTGTGAATAAGTGTAATGAAGGGCTCAATCATCTCGCTATAATCAACTTGTTATGAATTTGAGTGCTGGTTTTTTGCCAAGATTCACTAACTTGGTCAGAACATCATAGATTAAAGGATTAAATTATCATAATTTAGCTCGGCAATTTGGCACTATTAAATCTTTATTTTGACCAACAAAATTGATTTAAAATACAGCCTGAGTTTGTATAGTTCGTGACTTCAGTCTGAAGTCAGACTACAGTCCGTTCATAGAATAAATCTGTTCTGCGCAAGAGACTTAAAAGTGATTTGGAATTGATTTAAACCTCTGCTAATTTTTGTCCAATTTTTCGAAAAAAAGTGAGGAATAAATATGCTTAGGGCGTTTTTTTTACTTAGATCAATTTTACAAAAATTGGCTGCGTTATGCATATCGATCCGGAAATCATCGGATTGCCAAGCGATTATGCATGCCATTAGCCTAAATGCAATTGAAAGTGCTCGATAAAAGATAATAACTTCAACCCGCGAATTAATAAGAAGAACTATCTCGCACTCATTATCGTTGCAAATTGATTTGATGCAAACTGATTGATGAATTTACCTCAACTCAAATTTTAGCTTCTTTTATTTGATATTGGCGGTCCGAAATTTGTAGTTTATCAATTTTTCTCAAACAAAAATTATTTGAGACCAGCTAAGTTTCAATCGGAACATTCAGGGCTTTGCCTTGATATACGAGCAGATTTGTTATATCATATTGCAACATGTTCAAAATGCCTCAACTTGATTCTTGAAATTCATTTGTTTTTCTACTTGTGCGAGAAAGCGCATAAAAATTAGCTCAAAGAGTTGAGTTATTGAGCTGAGAAATAAATGAACTGCACGTGGATTACGCAAATATTTTACTCATACAAAATTTGATGCTGAATCTGATATCTTTTTAATTTGGCAATACCGCTTCTAATTAGTTCTTTTAAGTTTTAAAGCTAGTTGACATAATTTCAAAAATAGTGGCAAACATGATAAAAATAGACTGTTTAGATATCCGCCTTTTTTATTCCACCTTATTTTCTTGAAGCAATTTTTTTATTATAACATAAAATAAAACAAAAAAATGTATTTATGATAATTGTATCTCTTCAAATTTCTCTATTTTTTTGGCTTTTCAGAAAGAAAGCTGTAGATTTTGTTAAAAAAGCGTAACACTACCAATGAAAACTAAAATCGTTCTTCGTTTTCCTCGACAAGTCAGTTTTGAAGTGTAAATATGAAGGAAGCATATAAAATTTTAGTCTTTTCTTTTTCAGTTTTACTTCCAAACTGACATCTACAGTTTTATATCAACTTAATAAATAACATTAAGAATTAAAATCAGGTACATCATACAAAAAAATTCGAGCTTATCAATAAATAATTCTGAAAATTACACCTGCCAGTTGCTTTGGTTAACTGAACTATACCATTGTAATTGGTTTTAAAGAAAAGTTGACTCAAAGTTTTTGCTCTGGCAGATTAATTTATTGCTTGGACTTTTAAAAAAGTGAGGATTATACAGGCTTCAGCTTAGTTTTCGCTAAAAATCATTTTTGAAAAAATTTTTTTAGATCCACGATCGAACCTGGAATCTACGTGGTCCCAAAAGAGTGTGCTACGTGCTCTTTTAGGTACATTTTATACCTTAGTAAACTGCTCCTTGAATAAATTGAGGATTCTATGATGTTCAAAGGAACTATACTCTTAATTTTCAGATTTTCCTTCCGCGCTGATTAATCCTAGTTCGATTAAAGTTTTAAGCAACCTAACTTTTTTTAAAAAAAAACAACACTTGAGCTGCGTAACCGAACTTGTTGGCCTGACAATCAGAAAAAATTGCAAAAAATTAAGCCTCGGTTGAGTTAGTCTTTTTAAAACCCTCACAATGTTACAAAAATCAATTAAAAATAATTTTTTGAGCTCAGTACAAAATTTTTTAGTTGATATAGAAAATTTATCAAAGCGGCTACGTTCAAAAGTGGAAATTTCACTGAATAAAAAAATTATTCAGTCAAATTTCGACTTTTGAACTAAGAGTTTTTGAACATTTTTCTTTACCACCTGCAAAATATTGTTCTAAGCGAAAAAAAATTACCTGTGATTGATTTTGTAACCTTATGAGACTTTGAAAAGGGCTAATTTTGGTAATTTAGAATAATCAATTTAAGTTTTCAATTAAATTAAGCCCAGTACTTTTCTCTTTTCAAAACAATGCGAGACGCTAAAAAATACCATTTTTATTTTTCATAGTTTTTTCCATATTTTCCGATTCTTTTATCAAATTTGAGCAGTAAATACAGTTCTTCAGCTTTAAATTGTAGCCGGATTTTCCAGGGCATCACCCTGATAAACAAGGAGTCTTGTTATCCTCATTAAAACTTGCATTCAAATTGAGGTGTTCTTGAGAAATAATTGCTTATTTCAGTTTGTGGAATGACATTTATTCAAAATATTGAAGCATCAGCAACGGCATTCATTCACGGAAAAGGACCATTAAAAAAAAGTGTACCAATTTCTCACAAAGAACTACTTTTATGCCCGCGCTCTAGAACCGCCTGCGGTCTTTTCGATTATTTCGCCAAGCACCTGATTCAATTTTAATTAGGCAATTGAAGCTCTAACAACAAGGAGTTTTCCATTTTCTTGGTTATTCAGAAAATTTTATCTTGACTTTTCTCAATAGCTTTTGATCATTTTTATAAAAATTTCTCCAGATTATCTTACTCAAAAATCTTCTTCTTACCTGATTAGAAAACTCTCAGATTCAATTTGTTGGCTGATTAAAACTTAACAAGTTTTTGTTAAATATTGAAGAAAATCAATAAAAAAAAGTGTTTGAGAGATGACGATGAGAAATTTATTGTTGTTTTTCCTCGCTTTTATTAATCCGAATACAGTACTCGGGTCTATGAGACCTCGTCCCATGTACAATATCAGCGCAATTAACCGAGAGCCGTTTCTTTTTGATCTGGTTGACCTTGAAAACAGCACGCGACGAATCGGCTACATTCAGGATTTAGTTGACGAGTTGCAAAAACGACTCAAATTCGACTACAATTTCTTATTCGTCCCAGACGGACACTATGGAATACCAAATGATAACCAAAATTGGAACGGAATGATTGGCGAGTTGCTTCTCGGTAAAGCTGATTTCATTGCAGCCGACTTAACTATCAACGCCGCTCGTTCTGAAGTCGTAGATTTCACACCGCCTTTCATGCAAATCGATTGGGGAGTCGTTTACAAAAAACCAGCGGTAACTTCAAACTTCCTGGCATATATGATGCCATTTTCGAACGCAGTTTGGTACACTATAATAGGCAGTCTATTGGTAACTTCGAGTTCCTTGTATACATTCGCGCATTTCAACTCACAGGATACTCGGCTTTCGAGTGCCGCCGCTTGTTTGTACTTCGGACTTGCCTGTCTTTTTGCCCAGGGGCCTGAGACCTATCCGAAGTCAATAGCTTCAAGAATGACCGCAATTTCTTGGTGGTTTTTCTCGCTCATGATGCTAACTTTATACACTGCAAGCATGACTTCTATGCTTACTGTGAACAAATCCGCGTTGCCTATTGAAAAAATTGAAGACTTAATCGATTACGGGGAACTTCATTACGCTATTGAGCCCGGTCAGGCGACCCAGTGGGCTTTTCAAAGCACGAGCTACGAGCCATTCCGAACAATGTGGGGAGACATGGAAAGCCGAGACACGGGGCTATTCGGACCCGAAGACGGAATGAGCCGAGTGCGTTCCCGAAGCGACTTCGCATTTATACGAGAATCACCATATATCGCTTACGACTTGACGTTCGCGCCGTGTGATCTCGAAGTGGTGTACAGTTCGCAGAACCCGAACTCCGGTTCGGGTTACGGGTTTGCGTTTCCGAAGGGATCTCAGATCGCGAGAAATTTTTCGACTGCTATTTTGGAACTCATAGAGGAAGGAGTGGTCGCTGAAATACATGCAAAATGGTTCACGACTCGCAACCAGTGCTCGGAGGCAAAGAAACTGGCGAGTAATGTCGACGAAATAGGAATCGTGGAGATCAGAGGGATTTTCATCACGTTTCTGGGCGGACTCGCGATTGCTTTCCTGTTCTTCGTGATCAAAATTGGACTGAATTTTTACGATAAGAAGTGTATAAACCCTCCCGAGAAATGAAAACAATGGAAAAGAAGTAATTTCGACCTTTTCGGGAACTTTTCATCACATTTTAGTTTTCATAGTGGCAAATATATTCAAAAGAGGATAGATGATGAATTAGTAAAAGACAAAAATGTACTTATATCTATAATCTATTGTTTTCCCCAATTTAAAAACTGAAACCCATATTCTTTTAAAATTGATTGAAACTTTTTCCTTTTTTGAGTGAAGTTGAGTTAAATGACATGGTTTAACCTAAAGTACAAAGAGGTTAATTGTAAAACACCCTTTTCGAGACCTTTCGCAATAAAAAAAAATACAATGAGATTGCAATGAATTGATACCCTGTTAATTATTGAGAATGCTTATATGTTCTAGCAAAGCTGTCTGGGTTGAAGTGTTGGCTTAGTGTTAACACTTTCGAATTCCAAAGACTCATGGTCTATGAAAAATGGCTATGGCCTCAAACAAAGTCTGTGAGCATAGTCATGAGAGTATGAGCAGCCCATTTTACAGCGCGCAAGAACATAAAAGTGCATAAAAATTGCAATAAACCCTAGTCAGAAACCACCAAAAAAATACATAATGATTTTATGTAAAACCGAGAAACGATTATAAATGATATTTTTTATCAGTTTTTAACATGAAAGTATTTTGGTCAGTAAGTTAATAGAAAATGAATGATAACAACAACCGGTTAGATTTGTTCCAAAACAGTCATGAACGTATACATGAACACCATACCCAAGATATACCCAAGGTATGTTTAGATCTGGCAAATACAGGTTGTACGCGCATATATAATTTCGGACCTTCAACTAATATCTGCCTATAAGCTCGAGTGAAAGTTGCCCTAAATGACTTGAGGTATAAGCTCAAGTCAATTTTTTAGAGAGCCATTAAGCGTTTTTTTCGGCGCTCAGAAAGTAAATACATTAACAGAAAACTAATACAAGAACTCGTTTAGACCGTAAAGCTATGGTTTAGAAGTTTGGCTCGGTCAGACCTTTTGAAATATACTTGAAGTATTTCAAGTCAACAAAAGAAAAAAAGGAAAATATTGTAAAACAGTTCTTCGTTAGATTAGTCTCTAACTTCCTTTAAAAGGGAATTATCAAATGTATTAATTTACTATCAAACTTCGAAACTATCTTTAAAAACTTTTACCTTTGCTTTTATTTGGGACCATTAGTAGTTTTACGGGACCATACTTCTAAACGAGTACATTTAAAATTCCCAGACTACTTACTCGTCAACGGGAAGTCCTCTGAGTTGCCACTCTCTAGAGGTCACGGGGTCACAGAGTGTTCCGGCCAGGTCAAAGTGGGGCGACACGGGGATAGAACGCTCTCTGCATTCACCCAGCCACTTGTTCACACACGACTGAAAAATATGTAATAAAAAAGCAACAGCTATTTTTTGCTAGAGAGAAATTTTGTCAATAAGTCGAGACAATAACAAATTTCGAGATAATAACAAATTTCGAGATGAAATGTAACATGTGAAAAATTTGAGCAAAACGCGGTTTTTTCTTTCTGATGTGTTTTGGTTAATTGTTCAAGAAAAAATATTGCACTAGTGATTCAAGTGTTGCCAGTGGCGTGCGCAGAAATTTTTCTAGAGGGGGTGATTTTTCAAAAAATTTTGAAAATTTTGCAGATTTTTTCTTTAGATCGATCATTTTGATTTTCCGAACTATCCGAAAATACTATAAGGACCTTATTTTTCTAAAAAAATGTTCTGCACCGCAGACATATTTTTCAAAAAACAGGCCAAAAAAGGGGTTTTTACGCACTTTTGGGAAAATTTTTACGATAAAAATTCATTAATAACTTGAGAATAATCAAAATAGTACAAAAAAGTTATTTTTGCAAGCAAATTCTTAACTATTTAGCGCTATGAAACTACAAAAAAACTAACATTTCTGAACTCGAGAGTGAATGGGCCTAAATAGGCCACAATTGCAGAGGCAATGAGCACATCGCCCACTATGTTGATGTAACTGCTGCCCATTAATTTCTCCATCTCAGTCCATCTCACCCTCTCACCTCCTAATTGACCAATCAGCTTAGAGGCACGCTGTAGACGCACTTGGGTCAGGTCAATCTAAATTAGAACAGAGTGTAAAAACGTTCCAGCCATGCTTCGAAATCACCCAAAGTAGATTAAAGTAAGGCTGTTTTTGTGCGGTAGGCTTTTATTTCACAATCGGAAAGTTAAAATTCTTTGCAATAATAATTTTAGGGCACATGATTTTCAATGATTTGTAAGACTCATTTTTTGTTCATTTTTTGTTTGTTTTTTGTTTATTCAACGATTTTTATGATAATTATTTTTTGTTTTGTTTTGATGCCTTCAAATAAACATTTTTAAGTAATTAACTAGAGTGTCGGGGTTGTGGAATGTCAACCGACAGACTCTTAGTTACAAAAGTAATTGTAATAAAATATGAATTGGTAGAATAAAGAATGTTGAGATATCTGTATCTTTCATTAGATAACGAGAGAGTGATTTTCATTCATCATAAAACATTAACACGGTCGACAAGTACCGACCTTGACATAAAAACATCAACTCACTCAGACTAACATTATGACCTCTATCATCAATTCAATACACAATGCATACGTTACATAATAGGAGGCACACCCGCCGTACCACAGGGGTACTGTTTAAGCAATTTTTGTGAAATTTGATTTTGCAATTAGGGTAACAACGGTATAAAGGTACAGAGCTATCAGACGTGCCAAATTAAATTCAATTATCGCTTTGAGCTATAATTTTCTGAAGATTCTTTTTGTTTGATAAGCTTGAAAATTTTTCATTGATTTTTTGCAATAATTTTTTTTGAAAATAAATGCCATTTCCAAAGAATTTTAAAGTTCAAAAAAGTTTAATTTTAGGTCAAAATAAGTTTAAGTTTATTTTAAAAAACTTACTTTTAGGCTGTTGAAGGCCGTCAGGTTTTTCAAAGCAAAAAAAATTATTTTTGAGAAAAAACAATATCTGTAGACTTTGAAAACAACTATAAACTATTTTAATGCTGATACATCAGAGCAATTTTAATATCTTTTATAAAATTTTTAACAAAATTTATTTGATTTTCATCTATAAATTTTTAACTAAACGTTTATAAATACTTTAAGGCCAGTCAGTACGTGGGCACCAGCACTAATTTTTATACAGATAAAATGCCGTCAAAAAAGCGACTGTTTATAGCCGTTTGTTTGAAACACTCGGTTGTTAACGGATTTCATCTGTTATATACTGTCGCAAAAAATCGATTTTATTGCCTGTAAAATTGATATACATCGATCTGGATAGATTTTCGCATTATACCAAAAATAATCAAAATCTCAGCAAAATCGATTTCTAGCCGTAGCAAACTCGGGGCGTTGCAAAATAAATTTTAAGCATCAGTTTTTTTCCATGGTAACTGAGTAGTATAGCTAATTTACACTGGGATCGGGGGGGGGGGGGGGGGGTGATCCCTACAGGGATCATTGGGTATTGAGATCCCAACGTAAATTTTTGAGATCCCATGTAAAAGTACTGATCCCATGTAAAATTTTTCATGATCCCAAATAATGATCCCACAAATTTTATCCCAATGTATATTTTTTAAACCAATGATCCTGAATGTAAATTTTTGTTAGGTTGATAGCTAAATCGTCCAAATGCCCAGACGGTGTATTTCGTTCTTTTTGTTCATGCACCAAATTGGAGTGGTATATAAAGTGGTTATAGCGATTAGTTTCATGCATGGTATATGAAAGACGCTTGATTTCTGCACCGAATATGTTTGAAATATATTTATAGAATCAGCTTGAAATTTTTATGTATTACTATAGACTGGTTTCTGTAAACGTCTATGTCAAGTAATTTCAGGAAGAAACTGTTGAAGAATTAAACGGAAAACATACGTTTCAAGGTTAAATTGAATTTTGTAAACTTTTGGTTCAAATATAACACCAATTCTAACACGCACACTGGTACACATAAAAACATAAAACATGTCTTAAACGCTGTTACTCTTTACTGAACAATATTTTACACACTATCACATTAACAAACATTTTTTCTTATTTCCTGCGAAAACGTTTTGGTTGCGTTGGCACATCTTCAACGGCTTCACGATCTAGAAAAGAATTATCCGACGATTCTGAAGACGATTCTGCAGAAGTTTCAGCACTCAAATTGGCAATATCGTCACTGTCAAGGTCATTCTCGTTTATCTGATCGAGACGTGCAAATCCAGGATCCGGAGTCTGGAATCCTATTCATTTGAGGCTGTTAACATAAGATAGAACAAGGAACGATGTACATGTGATTGACTTGTGCTGGGGTCAATGAAGCTATCTTGACTATCGTATTGCACATCTTGCGTATAATCCCAGTCTATTTGTGTTCGATCAAGTTCTTGCGACATACCATCTAGTATATTCTCTTGATCCCATTCTATTGGTGCGTCATTGTCTTCAAAATGAGCAACCCATGCATCTAGATCGTCATCATCATCACTATCTCGATCTAACGTTTCATCGTTCGCACTATAGGCATGAAAGGTAGAGCTGGTATTACCACGACGACTATTGTTTGAAGGCGGTTCTGAAGACTCCATGTAACCATATGGCAACGTTGAAATGCCATCATCCAATATATACCGTTTATCGTCAAACGATGACAATGCTATCTTATTCGTACGAACAGTATTCAGAACGGTCAGATGCAATTCTGGTGTTTTCAGCTCGATAGAGACTACCCATCTCAAGAGTTTCTTCATACTTCCGATGAGTAAGAAGATTTTGAGTTGCCCTGGAAATGTCTTTAGCTGAAAGCTTACGATGATCTATATAAAATGAATAAATGATTACTAATCGTTAATACATTGAAATTTTTTTTCGAAAAAAAGTTTTTCCCCAAATTTTTGACGAATTTTTTTCGAAAAAAAATTTTTTCCCAAATTTTTTTTCGAAAAAAAATTTTTTCCCAAATTTTTTTTCGACAATTTTTTTTTCGAAAAAAATTTTTCCCAAATTTTTTTTCGACAAATTTTTTTCACCCAAATTTTCGACAAATTTTTTTTTCATAAAAAAAAAATTTTCTGCCAATTTTTTTCAGACAATTTTTTCATAAAAAAAAATTTTCCCAAATTTTGGAAAAAAAGTTTTTCTCGAAAGTTATTGGTTTTCCCAATTTTTTTTGTCGACAAATTGAAAAAAAATTCTAATTTTTTCGACAAAATTTGATGAGTAATTGAAAGTACTAACTTAGAGAGACGATTGAGTATAACTTGGGTTTTAAAGCAATGAAGTCCGTGATGGTGTCGGCTGGGTACTCATCTTTGTATTTGAGAACTGTCAGTTTGTTTTGCTTGTTAAACAGGGGATGGGTTTCGGGATAATTTGAGAAATCGAATTCGTCAATAATGTTGGATTGGTTTTTCAAAATTTCGTAAAAATCTGCATTCTTTTCGGTTTCTATTTCGTAAAGCAAACTATCGGTATCGGAGTAAAGCAATCGACACTCAAAGTTTGGTTTCATAATTTCATAGTGAAACCGATTTATTTCAAATTTAGCGATTTCAAGCACGCATGCTCCTACTATGGTAGTTACATTCCAATTAATGACTCGTGGCGCTGACGTCAATGCCGCTAAATCATCACCAAATATTTTAAATGTCTTGAAGTCAAAAGCAGAAATTTGTTGCATTGTTTCTTCAGCGTTATGTACAATATTAACTTTCACTCTTTTTCTTTTCGATTCGCATGTTTTTCCATATGCAGAATTATTCAACAATTTGTACAGTGCTTCTTCAAATTTGTTTCGTGCAGCTTTCCTTTTGTTTGTGTTTAGGGTTATATAGGGTTCTAACCATAGTTCTTGCTTGAACTTTAAAACTCTATGTACTTTCGTTATTTTCAAACCCAACCGAACATAGAGTTGTAAAAGTTTGTAATGCACTGTATAATTACTCTTGTTATGCAATGTCTGAAGCAGTTTTTTTACTTTGCCAGGAGCAACTCGATAATTATCATTGCCTTTCATTTGTTCTGCCAGATCTCGTTGGTAGTCACTTAACCACTCCTCTGGCACCACTTCTTTGGTTGGTGCTAAAGGATAGTCTCGATGGGATTCATGAAGTTCTTGAGGGTACTCGAGATCTACTTCAAGAATGAAACCAATATCTGAATCTTCTGGAGTTGCCAATATTTCATCAATGCTCGTTTCACTGCTTGTACTAACTTCACCGTCTTCCTTAACATGGATTAACTCAAAGTCGCGTGCTGGTAATTTTTGCATTTGCATAACACCTCCATATAGATTATTTGCTTCCAACATGAAGCCATAACTTGTTTTTTCTTGAGGGTTGTACTTTTCATTCATGTACGGGTTGTTTGCTTTGAAATTTCTTTTTTCAAAAACAGATGCTGTCCCACCTCGCATCATATTTTTCACCATTTCTAAATGCTCTCTTTCCGAAAGAAGTTCAATATCAGCATTACAGATCCTCTTGAAAGCATCTCCCGCAAGATTTGACGCAGTAAAATGATGCGCGCAATCTAATCCGTAGCTTGCATGAGTTATCGAACGAAACTCTTCAAAAACACATGCGAGAAGAAGAGTATCACATGTGAGATAGAGATTGTGATATTGCTCTAAGTTTATGCAATTGAATTTATCGAAGACTGTTTGAGCTTGTTTTAAATCTTCTTCACTAACACTGATTTTTCCTCCTTCTAATGAGTTTCCCCATGCACTGAGTGGTGGCAGATTAGGTTCATCAAACTTTAATCGATTTGACATATAGGAATAAGGGTAAAAGCTTTTCCTCTTTAGAAGTGCGCGAAAACTCTCATCAGCTTGTTTGAAGTGCTCATCTAGTATAGAGAACTTATCAGCTGGTAAATTATCAACAAGTTTTTGTAACGAAGAATTCAAAAATTTACATGAGTCTATGAATCGCATGTATTCATAGACATTTTGCTTAACACCATTTGCTCGTGTGTAAGTGTCAACCAATACACCAATGCTTAGTGAGATATACTTCTCATCTGTTGCGGGTTTGACTTGGATCGTGCTCATTGGTTCCAACTCACCCAAAG